TGCTGAACAAGAAATACCTTCTGGTACAGGAGAAAAAGCAGCAATAAGAATAAGAATTCCCAAGAGGTTTCTGCAGTAGCATCCAGAACGGCATTATTTTGTAATAACAGAAACTGTTAGTTTCACAGTTCTGATAATGAGGATGTGTCTCATGTAATTCTAGCATACTGGACATCATTTGCCTTCTGTGACAAATTTTTCAGAAATAATGTTTTGTTTTTAGAGCATCCACAGACAGATTTAACATTAGTTAGGTTGCATTCAAGAGGTAGAAAGCAAATACATGGTGAGTTGATGGAGGGAAAGCTTGCATCAGCGCCTCAAAAAAAAGTGTAGCAGAAGATTACTCCCCAAAAAATAAAATTCTATGACATTCAGCTGCTGTGTTGCTGGATGTTTTGTCTTCTCCTGAGAGAGAAAATGTGTATTCTGAGTACCTGAAATCTGAAATTATTAATGAATGTTGCTAATGCCTTGTCTACTGAGGCAAAGACATCTATTTTTCAATCATATTAGTTTATATGGAGCCTGGTCTAAAGAGCAGGCATCTTAAAATTATCCTGAAGATATTAAAGTATTTACATGGACGTTAAGAGAGAGACAGAAATTCAATCAAGTTATGATAGTAGTTTCATTTAGTTAAATTAATTGAAATAGATACCTGTCTTGTACAATGAATTTGTTTGTAACAACCAACTTCAGTAGTACAATCGCAGTTTGTTTATCGAAATTCCATTTAAGTTCCCTAACTGTCCTTTTTTTCATTTTTGGAAAATATCATTTTGGTTACTAATACGTGTCCATCACAAGCCTGTAGAACAAACCCAGGTCTTTTACCTTACGATGGCTTTAAACTGTCTTATTTACCTTTAAAGCCCAATTTTCAAGAACCGCATTAAGTGTCCATGGACCTGTGTTGCAAGTTAAAGCATCTGAAATGCTATAATATTCTCTTGTATCCTCAAAAAAACTTGAAGATCAGTATATTTCCAGATTGTTGCACAGAATTTAGATGTAAGAGAACAGGTAACATACTTAGGCTACTGACTGACTTGATTTGCTAGCCACCCTGGAATGTTCATTGCATTGAGTTGATTCTTCAGACAGTAGTTTTCAGAAAAATGGTTTTCTGGAGAAAGAAGGAAATCTGGTAAAGTTTATTCTGTTACATGGCAGATTTGGGGAATATCTATGAATAGTTCACATTCTGTGCACTTAGCTCTTAGCTTATCCTGTGATTTTAAGATTTTGGGTCTTCAGTATTTATATTTTTGCTTAAGACATCCTAAGATGGGTGGAAGAGGCATAGTTTGTGACTAACACAAAGACTCAGTTGACTCTGAAGTACAGTTCAATTATTCCCAGGCCTCCTCATTTTGAAAGTATAATAAATGACTAATACCTAAGTTATTTAATGAATTAAAGAGATTTTAGCAGAATAAATTAACCTCATTTTTTGACTTTGAGCCAGGGATTTTACTTTTTTTTTTTTTCCCAAATGAACAAAATGAAACAAACAAAAAACTAAACAAGAAGAAACAGTGAAAAAAAAAGCCCCCAAATTAAGAGGAGACACATAGCCATTTAGATAATATTCTATTGATATATTAATCAATCTATACAGTCCTTACAGACCACCAAACAGGGTGAGGATAATAGTGAAAATTACTTTGAAAAAAAACCCCAATGAACTAAAGATAATTAACAGTAAAAGAAGTATCACAGAGGGGATGTTACATAGTGTGAAGACTGAGACTGGAAAAAGAATATATTGATACGTAGCTGATCTAATATTGCATTTCTTTTTTACAGGAAAAGCTTAACAACTTTGGTTTTTCTTTACTGACGATTTTAGTTGAACACTATTATGCCTTATTATGAGTGATTTATAGCATCTGTGCTGGCCTGTAGTCAAGAAAAGATAATATGTTCTTTTTATACTTATGAAGAGGATGGAGGAACAGTGCTGCTAGAAGAAAATGTTATGTGATTTCTATAGCTGTTTTTAGGAGCAGTAATATAGAAACAGGGTGCGGATCTACTCACAGGCTTTCCTGGCAAAGGCAGGCTCAAAGGCACAGTTCTGAAACTCAAGGATTGTCAGGCATCATGGCATTAGATCTGTGAATAATTTCAGGGGGAAAATATACTTTACTCAAATAGAAGAGATCGCTGTCCCAAGTGCCTCTTAAATCAGTAGCTGCACGTAAGCTTGACAGAAATATTTATTTGTTGCATAATTTAATAGCACATGCCGCCGGATTAGTTGATGTCCCACTCATCAAGCAGCTGAAAGCAGGTCACTGAGGTGGTTTCGTAATAGTTTGTAATGATTAATTATGGGTTTGGAAAAAGACAGTGCAAATGATCTGCGTATAGATCTATTTAGAGTTAGATTCAGTTTGACATAATGGCGTGGCAAGATAAGAATGTGTTATGAGAGTGTGTCACAAGGTGGGTAAGATCTTTACACACCAGGGTGATGTTGTACACTGTGTTTGTGGATCACTTTTGTGTATTATTGGTTTCTAATGACAAATTTAATACAAATTTAATACATTACTTAAGATCAGGATTGAGCATTGTAAACAAGAAAACTTGTTTGTTTCGCAGGTGGTTAGCAGGTATCTGTTGAACTCAACATTCAGAATAATATGGCTTTGCATTTTGAAATGTGTTTATTTCTGAGTTCATGATGATCTTTGCTTAAACTCTTCTTACTTACTTGCTAAAGAGAGTAAATATTTTCTATTAATGATGTAAGTATTGTGTGCTGTATATTCTTTTGGGGTAGAGGTTGAACAACAATGGTTTATTGTATTCACTTCCATTTTGCCCTGCCTGCATCCTCACTCTTTACAACAGGATCCAGGTCTCTGAGACAAGCTGGGATCAATTTTCTCTCTTCTGCTACCCATTCTTTTTAGTTTTCACTATTTGTAGGTCTGTTTCTATTATTTCTAATAAATGTATTTTATGACTACTGTATATTTTTAGTTAAAATGGCTAAAAATGCCAATTGTGGTTCACCCTGAGATGTAGATATTATTGTATACAGGCTGATTTTATTTTCATACTGATTTTTCTTCTGTTTCTCAGTCTCCTATGGACATACTAGTGACATTTCAAATTTCGGTTGATGATACCCATTTTGAATTAGTGTTCATTGCTTTAAAGTAATTTAAATGTTGTTGGCCAAGTTCTGTTTTTCACCTTGATGAAAATCTTGTCTGTTCCAGTGAACTAGTTTGGATTTACTCTGGCGTAACCAGAACAGACTTGGCCATTGCTCAGTTTTGTAAGAGTAATTCTGTGTATATCTGATGTAGCTGTGTAAAAGGGGATCAAAGGAAAGTGTTACAGTAGCTGTTAGAGATTGCCTTCTGTCTTCTAATCCTAATGTACTGCACCTTTAAATTTTTCCCTTTGATTTATTGTGTTTTGTACTCATGGTTGATTTTTTAATTTTCATCTCTTTATTTATTTATTTATTACTCTGGACAGTTTTGTTTCTCTTTACCTGTTATTTCCTTTTTAACCTATCTTCACTTTCCCTGTCATCTGATAATTCTGAATTGTTTGTCTGTATATAGCTATAGACATAGATGCCACTGGCTTAGATGCAGAAGAAAATGATATTCCAGCAAACCATCGCTCCCCCAAACCCAGTGCAAACAGTGTAACATCACCCCACTCCAAAGAGAAAAGAATGCCCTTCTTTAAGAAGGTAACACCGACTTCCAAGCTCCCATCTGTCCACCTGCTCACCTGCACTGCGTCACATTTCTTAGTCCTGTTAACCGTCTGCGTCCTTTGACAAGCCAATAACATGCATGCTTTGTTGTTCTTTGTTTCTTTTCCATGCTGCTGTAGCTAAGCAGAAGCAGAAATCGGTAAGTTTATATCAACATTACCTGTGTTTATCCTGCCACTGGCATCATTAGCATTATTACCCCAGATTAATGATGCAGCTATTCTAGAATTAAGGTAGAAATGTATCTAGCTATTAGTGGATTCAGTACAAGAAAACAAACAGTGCCAACTTCAGTGCATCCGTGATACTGTTACAGTACTTATCATTTTTGATGGAATAATAGGACACACTTCGAAGGCCACCTAAAAGTAGAGAGAAGTGAGAAATGTATTTCTAACAATTCCATATAATACTTCTCTCTAGGGCATGCTTATTCTTTCTGTGTTTTTCAAGCTTTTTTCTCTTATTATTCAGTCTATTAAAGTCATTATTGGAACCTAATCGGATACTCAGGTTATACTTAGAAAACAGTCAAAACTGTTGTATTTTTAATTTAGTCAGTATTTAAACTTCTGATTTGCTAGGTGCAAAATCTGCAGGTGAATAAGACCAGTGGAAAACCACAGACTTGTTCTAGCGGTTTGCTTTGAGTTTTTTCCTGTTGTCATGTATAAATTATCAGCCAAATGTTCTCGCCATCCATCACTCAGACTTTTTTAGTAGCTCAGCTATTGGAAATGGTACTGGTGGTTCCCAGGAGAGCCAATGTCTCTCCATAGATAACCCAGATAACTACAGAATTATGCAATTGGCATCCTGTTACAGCAAACTGTAATATGTTTCTAGGATCTTGGCTGGAATAAGTTATCAAGACATTAGATAGGAGCCAAACTATGCAGCGAAATACCACATTTTTACTCTTTTCATTTGAATTCTTTAGTCTTCATAGATCATATTCATTTGTTTTAACCACTTAAATCTACAGGTAACAACAGACTATTATAGTGATTATAAACAGTTCCAAGTGACAGTGTTGCCTGTGCTGTGGACACTCTCATGTTTAGTAAATAGAACTTTCTCTCTCTTTTCTTTTTGAACTCTTTCAAATAATATTGGATCCTTGTCATTTCCAAAGTCACCAGTGTTTGCTTCAGTAGGGGTTGTTAAGTACCATATCATTCACAGCCCACTATGGAAATGAACAGCAGTTTCTTGCTTCTGAGTAATTTTTTACTTAATCATATTTATAAACAACTATAAATGATAAGGAAGAATAATACATGGTGACGTGTATTAGATGCTCTCTTGCATACGCATCTTTCAAAGATGAAGCTTCTAGATGGACCACCTTGGACGTGGATGGTGGCTATTCCTATCTTGCTCTTCATTTTTTCCTTCCGTATCAGAATCATTACTGATTATAGTGGGTTTGGTAATACTGAAATTTACAGTAAATACTGGGTAGGCATCCCAAACTAGCCTGCATAATCAAACCACTGAGCAAAAGTCATATGCTCAAAACTATGCTAGTTTTTATTCTGAGTTCATATTTGAATGTAAATCTGCAAGTGAAAGCTGTATAGCGCAGTGCCAGTCCCTTAGAAAATGTTAGATTCTGTAATGCTAAATTAAAGAACTTTAATGCTTTTATTAGATAACTTTTACGCCGTTTTCTGCTGACAGCTTCATTGTTTCAAGCTGTAAAGATTAGAAGGGGGAAAAAAAAAAGCCTGTTTCAACAGAACAGATCTTAAAAATAGCCCATATTCCATCAAATAAGGTAATTTCTGTGCTTTCCCTCATTTTCACATAGCTGGTTAACTCTTAGCTTGAATACCTTCAATTGAGTCAGCCACGTTAAGACAAAATCTTTTGCATCAGGACACTCATGCTATAAGCACTTACCTATCTGCAATGAATTTTTCTTAGGATCTGTCTCTAATTTGCTTATCAGATTATTAGTAATGTTAGCAAGAACAGTGGAGGGCTATATTTTGATACTGTCACAGCATAATTGCAGGGTTTTCCTTTGAAATGTGTCAAGTCAGATTCTGCACTATGTATAATAAATTCGTTTCACATGCTTATGATGCCTTGGGCACTGGTATTCATTCTTATGTTACTAATTATCTGGTTAAGCTACAGGTAACGAAAAAAAGATAAATATTGTAGAAAAACATTCACAAAAATGTTTTCCATGTTTTAGACTGCTTTAGACTGCTGCTTGTGTAGCATTTTGTGCTGTCACCGTATTAATGTCTGTCTGTGTGTTTTTGTGTTTTGGAATGTATATATTTATTATAATGTTATTGTGAAACACCTTGGGATATGTTGAGTACTGAAACAAGGAATGACTGTATTCAGTGATCTTGACTGATGTACTTGTGTGATGTAGGTGTATGAAAAACAGATCTGGCGTAGCTTTTTCCATATCATCAACATGTTCTTGGGTTTGGGTTTCAATTGTTTTTTTGTCTAAGACAAAGATAAACCAAACCCTCCCTTACAAACAAAAAACGAGTTCTGATAAGACTAATTCTTGGTGATGTGTATTAAATAGACATTTATTAAAGAAAAAAACAGTTTGATTTTGATATCAGTATAAATTCTTTTACAAACTTTGGAAGCAGACAGTCTTTTTATCTTTGTATTTTAAAATACTTTCTTATAAATTGTGCACAATACATCAGTAAGTAGTTTGGTGAATATTGTACTAACAGAATCCATTCTTGGGTGGTAATAGCAACTTCCCAAGTGGAAGGATTGCTATCCCAAGCTCTCTTTATGAAAGTTTTCTAGAAATACTAACTTGATCAGTCATTATTGTGATTTCATTTGCAAGTAAATTGCAGATGCAAATCTCAAAGTCAGACTGCAAGTGCTCCCATGGGAATTTGCAGTGGTGTCACAATGTTTTGTCAAGCAGTGGGCAGATCTGAACATAAAAAGAGATGTGTTATGCTTTTCCCACCCCTTTTGTTTTATTTTTCTCTTGCACAATTTGCCTACATTAATATTTTACTGGGAAACAGATGTCACAGCTCTAGAGTCAATCATTTAAAATCATTAACTGTTGGAAATAACCTTTTCAATTTACCAGTTAGGAACTATGAAGTGGGACATGTGAATGTCTCCAGAATAAGTTTTTGTATCTATCCAGAATAAATATGAAGACAGTAGGAGAACTGAAAGTCAAAGAAAAGCTTTTTCAAAAGAAATCCCTGAGCCTATTAAGTCCTTATCTTGTACTACCAGTTTTCGGGAAAAGTTAACGAATCCGTGTTTCCTGTGTTGGCGACATCACTGGAAATTCAGAGTTCCTAACATTGTAAGTAACGTGTAACACTTTCTCTGGGTCCTGTGATGCTGAAAGCTTTTTCTGTTTTGCAGACAGAGCACATCCCTCCCTATGATGTAGTGCCTTCTATGCGACCAGTAGTTTTAGTGGGACCTTCTCTGAAAGGATATGAGGTAAGTGATTGTGTGAACGGTTTTATTTTGCCAAAAATATTGTGCCGCATTTGTATTCAGATGTTCAAAGATAGTTAAGCTGAATAACATCATTCATATCATAGACAAAAATCTAGACAGTTTTTACTTCTACTAGATAGCTGCTTATTAGTATTTCATTTCGTATCAGAATTCAAACTAAGAATAAATTACATTCCAATCCTAATATTCAGGTATATACTATTTACTGTCAATTTATTATGTATCGTATTGAGCATCAAGTATTATGAATTTCTCATGTGATTATTAATAGGTTGTTTGTTTGCTTCTAGGTAACAGATATGATGCAAAAAGCATTGTTTGATTTTTTAAAACATAGATTCGAAGGGCGGTAAGTACTTTGCAATGCAAATCTACCTGAGTTCAGGTCCTGTTAGGTACTACCAAGATATAATGACATTCTTTTTGTAGAAAATTAGTAATGACAGCTAATTCCTTTATCAGCGGATTGGTAGATTCCTTAGCAGAGGACACTGAGGCTGTGTTCGCAGTGGGAAGTGTTGAGAGAGGAAAATAGGATGTCTTCTTCTTGATGACTGTGATAACCACACTCCAAATTGCCAAATATTTATGTACAGATTTAATAAATGTGTACTCTTAAAACATTATTTTGCTTAAGTATTTTTCAAGTGATACCTCATCAGCACTTCCTGGGTTCTGCACAAGTTGACGAGGGCCACCATTCCTTCTCAGCTATAGGTTTTTACAGTGGCAGCTACCCTGGAAAGAGGGATAGGAGATTCAGACTATCTAATATACATGATTGTCAAACCCTTGATCTCTCAAGATGGAAGCTTGGTTTGACAGTGGTGCTGGACTCTATAATGGGAAGACTCAAAAGGAGTGCTGGGGGCAGGCAGTCCCCACATTACTGAAATATGGTCACTCTTGGTGGCAGACAGGCTGCACTTTGCTGGATTTTGATATGAGTGCTGTTACAGCCTGTGCCCCACAGGCAAGGTCCGATCTGATTTGTATTTGAGCCTCCAGGCATTACTGTAGTACAAATGTCAAATGATGATCCATCTCTAAAAGCAGTGGCATGTTCTGTAATTAAACGTCACAGGCCCATGGACAAGAGACATCAGGTGCATTCTCTACATGTGATTCTATTCCTACTGGATCAGGCTCCGGATTAGTATGTGCTAGTGGGTTGATGTTTGGGAGGAAAAAATTGAGAAAACTGGAAGGTCTTGTTATAATATCTGTAACTTCAGTGAATGTTCTATTCCATTTGGAAGTGGGCAGAGTGGTAACACCATTCTGTCTGTCTTGGTGCTGTCAAACTTTCAAGAGGGAGCTTGAAGTTTTCAGTCAATAGCTTCAGCTCTTTAAAATACCAGACATTATGGTTTTAGCTGTTGTATTTTCTCAGTCAGAGTGATGGTGTTGATACCTAACCACTTAGTAGTCCCTCTTTATATTAGTCAGAGTTCTCAAATCTTAGATATGTACCTTTAGAATTGGAAGTTAACAAAATAATGAGTGTTGCAAGCAGAAAAAACGTGTCTTTATGTCTTGAAATATTTTAAAGCGTATCTAATAATCAGTTGTAGATCCAGTTGTGTCAGGGTGAATCCACAAATGCTGATGTCTCAATACAGTTGATGTCTATAGTAGCAGATTTGAAGCATCCCAAACTTCAGTAACAATCTGCATTGGTACTCGAGGTCCCCAGCAAATTTGTAAAGGAGATTCTAAGACTCATGCTACTGTTTTCACTACTACTCTGCTGTCAAGCTGTCCCCACTCTCATTGTATGAGCATACATGCCCTTCATTTTGAGAGCAGGCTTGTTCTTCCTCATGCTGTGTATCTCAAAAGACATTAAAATGACCTTGAAAAGGTATTAAAATAGCTTAAAATGAAAAAAAAAGTATCTTAAAATGAAAAATAACGTTTTTAGACTGATAATTCTAGCTTTGTTCAATATACCATAATTATATTTGAAAAAGGGAAAAGTTCTTTCTGTTGCAAGTAGAAAGGACAACTGGAAAAAAAAGGAAGAAAAAAGCTGTAGAAGCTTGTAGTGCTCATCAATTAGCAAATAAAGAGAAATAATGAGTACCTAAATACATGTTGGATTTCATTTCAAGCTAATGGCATTATCTTTGAGGAGCTGAGCCAGAAATCAAATCCTTATTTATGTTTTCAGCTTAAGTTAAATTTCCAAAATTATGTTACTAATCAGTATTGTGCAAATAATTCTGTTTTTCTGTCTTAACTTCTGGCTTTTTTACATTTTGTAGGGGTTTAGATAAATATATACACATGTTGAGTTCACTGGAAAATGACCTATTTGGTTACATTTCAGATGAACAGCATCTGACTGCTTGCTAGAGAGGAGCCCACCCTGTTCTTAGGAAATCCATTTCCTCCTTTTAAATTGCAAATAAAATCTTACAAGGAAGAAGAAGGGAATATCATCTGTCTGATTTAACTCTCAGCACTGGAAAAATGTGACCCCTAAACCTCATTAGGCCAGAGAGTCTGAAAGGGAATTTATCCAAAGGGTGCATTTTGACCCTGTAAAGCAAAACAAACCCAGTTAACTGTTTTCCTAGGAAAAAGAATATGCAGAAGGTTATGTAGGAGGTCACTGCAAACAACTGGAAGTAACCACTTCTTTTTTGGCTCATCTTTTCTCATAAACACAAAACTGAGCCTGCCAGAGCCCAGAGTTTTTGTTTGCATGCTTCTCTGTGGTTGCAGTGACCGTTTTTAGGTGCCCAGCATATTGCTGTATCTTTCTGGAAAATTATAGGTAACTCTTTCACTCTGTTAATAAACATGTGCTAGTAAGCTGAGCAATAAAAAATAGAGTTATATGGCTGTACTACCAAGCTTTACCTTGACCTATTAACTCTGTATATCCCTATATGTCTTACAGGTATGGTTAAAGTAAGCCAGGATGTTATTCAGTACCTTTCAACAAATTAATCAAAATCAGGGAAGAGCAAAACCGGCCTGTTCATAGTGGGGACACTGGTGCAAAGTCTAACCATATCAGGCCTGGAGCCCCCAAGGAAGTCTCATCTTCTGCAGCATGTTTCTAACCTCCTTCTGCCTCCCTTCTGACCAGACACGTGTAGTTTTGCAGTCAGCGGTCGTAGTGCATTTAAGTACCGTGCAGAAAGGGGGGTGTCTTATCAATAGTTCTCATAACAGTATCAGTGAGATAATGTTTCTTCTCTGTTCATATTGTGCAAAGTATACTGTGCTGCTGAGAACTTCTTTTTTTTTGTAGTCTTAGCCATATTCTAGTGTTAAATGAGTCCCTTCTTGTCCCCACATCCCTGCAAGATAAATAACATTCTGTTCTATTTCACTGTATTTTATTTTTGCAGTATATCAATTACAAGAGTCACAGCAGACATCTCGCTTGCCAAACGCTCAGTATTAAACAATCCCAGTAAGCATGCGATAATAGAGCGATCTAACACAAGATCAAGCTTAGGTAAGTACCTATGACTGTGCTGTCTACAAATCGGCTGTAAAGTATTCTACTCTCAATTCATATGTGTAATCTAAAAATAGCCTTCTCTCTGCTGTGAGAAAATCACGATTCCTGTAATTCAGAAATCTTGGCACTAGAAATCATTTTAAATCACTACCAGGTAAACTTCATATAGTGCTGATTATTGGTTTATCCTGCTTATGTTCAGTTTTCGGGTTTTGCTGTTTGCCTCAGTGGGGAGAAGTAGCCATCCGTAAAGTAAATAAAGTCTAAAGAGGTGTTCTGGTTGAATAGAAGTGATGGTTTCAGAATACCTGAAATTATATGAATATTATTGATACTATGCATTATCTTTGATAATATTACTAGTAGTGATAGCTACTGATACTAGACCTGAAAAAAAATATGGAAATACACATTTTCAGAATTTTGTATCAATTTAAACTAATGCTGAGATTGGTACAGAAAATGAAGGATGTAGAAGAGGAGACATTGTTAAAAACTATATAGTTAGGTTCATAGCATGCATATCTGTCATCTTACATTAGTCTTTTTGTACTGTAGTTTGTCCAGTTATGTAAGTAATTCAACAGTTATTAGCCAGAAAGAAAAACAAGCTTAGCTGGGAAGATGTAGCTAAGTGTCACCAGTTACAGTACAGGTGGCTTCTCTTGCCTAAAAAGTTTGAATTCCCTTTCTTGAAAATTTGCTTCTTAAAACCCTTGCTTTCAGCTATGTGGAGGCTGTGAATCTTTACTTGCAAGTAGGTTGATAGCTTCCAAGTATGTCTTATTTTAAGTGTTTTCAAATGTCAAAATGTAATGTACCGTAACAACATAATGAATGTTTACACACAAGAATATTCTTCTATGTGGATTTCAGTCTTGTCATCAAGGTCTGTTTAATAATCTAATGAAAAGAGAAAGTGTCACTTGTTTTGAACAGAACTGAAAATTGGTAATAAGGATATAGGTCATGCAGTCGTGGAACAAACGAAACCATGGTGATTTATTTCCCAATCTGAAGATCAAAGCATGTGCAATTTTGTGCAATACTACACAAATATATGCAGCAGTACAAAGCATATCATCTATTTCTCATATTAAAATATTTTCATATATGTAAAACAGCTATCATGAAAAATTATACAGGAAAAAATCTATAAAAACTAAATGCAGCTCAATTGTATACACCTTTATCTCATAGAGAACCTTACCCTTAAGAATATCAGTATCTTTTCTTTGGGCTAAAGTATTTTCTTGATAGAGGTATTTAAAATGGAAGCTCTGACAGAACCTCAGTTGGAGACACCCAAATGTGATTATGAATATATGTAAATATGAAGATAGATAGATAGATAGAGATGTCTCTTGTATTTGTAACAGACCTATTACTATTGTCTAAAATTTCCTGCTACATGTCAGGTTTTCAGTTACCTATAATTGTTCTAAAAATTAGCTGATTTATGAAAGAATTTTGAATTCTTTTGGGAAATATTATTAAAGCAAGTAGGTCATGTTAAAACTGAAGTTAGGGCAAAAATTAATTTTACCTATGTTAAAATATTCTCAAAACTTTTTTTTTTGTTACCCCAGAAGCTGTAATACTCACATTCTTCTAATAACCTAACAGGGTTTTGAAATTTGGTAGTAAATTAAAAAGGGTTTCATTTACATGTTTCTGGGCATTCGTCATTAAAATAATGAGAAAATTTGACCAAATTATTGGAAGCTGCAACTAACACACACCAAACTTTCCGTCTGAATTACTTAAAGACTCAGCTCTCTCTGGGCAAGGTCCAGCAATAATGCTGAGCAGAAGTAGCCCCAGCAGACTGGATCAGGGCAGCCAAGCAGAACTAAAGCTGGAAGGTGCTCATCTTTCAGCTGTCAATCCCTACTTTGCTGTGCAGCATGAACGAGGGTATAGAAAGTTTTTTACTTTAAAGATGTTCAACTGGAGGAGCAGATTAAGGGAGAAAAGCAAGTCGTGAAAATCCATTATTGAAAAGGTTGGATATATGGAATACAAACTGGTATAATTGAACACACTGGTGAAGTACCTCCAAGGTCCATGCTCCAGAGATGAGGTAAACCATGGGAGGAAAAGAAGGAGCCAGGAAGGAAGTCAGGGTGGGAAATGATGTGGCGGTGGGTTAGGAGGAGAACTGAGATACAACAGAACATCCTGGAGTCAGAAAAGGGAACTGCTTTTGTAAGGTGGCGGGAAAACCCTTGTGCAAGGCAAAATATAGAAAGTATAAGGAGTGTTACAGCCTGTTCCCTTGCTTGCCTGCAATGCCTGCCTCATTTCTACCTCAAGGTAGAAATAGAGTCAGAATTAGAAAATATCACTGCAGCCTGCTGGTAGGTGGCCTTTATGAGCAATGGCTCATAAAGAAGATGACAGCATACTACTGCTGCGAGTTACTTAGTCGGCTGAAGTAGCAGAGGTGAGTGGCAGTATCACACCATGTAGTGGAATTTTTATTTTTTGGTTTCTGTGATGGATTTGCTATAAGTCAACAAAAAATGCTATTAAAAGAATATTATTAGGTTTAAAAACTCAAGTTGTGCAAAATAAAGGTTAGGAAGTAATAGTAAGAAGATTAACTGTGCAATTTCTCAGTATTTTTAGGTTATGTATGCTGTGATTCAGTCTTTGGTTATGCGTTTAAGATTATTTTTCCACCGGTGCTCTGCCTTAGTTGTTGGGTTTTGGTTTTTTTAAATGTATAAACTAATGCAGGGAATTGGAATTGCTTAGTGAATTGCTGTTTTGCTTGCTATGGAACTCATACAGTGAATGAAGCAAGTAACTTCAGGAAGGCAAATGATGTTCTCTAAAAGCACGATATGACCTTTGCAATTTAAATTTAGGGGCAGCAGGACAGGGCATAGTGATCTGACCAAAACTTTTTGTGGCATTAAATCAATCAGGAAAGATTTCTCAGATCCAAGACCAAATTCCTGATCAACCTAGTTGATTCTACGATTCTATGATCATTTGTAGAAGTACTAATCATTGTGACTGAAACTGCAGTTCAGGCTTTGAACCTGTCAAACGGTAATGTATGTCATCAAAATCAGCACATTGCATGGTAATGCACTGATTGGAAAACAAACGGTACTCTATGGAATACTGGTTGGGTATCTTATGAAATACCAGACTTACAGCTCTTCATTCCCAAGATGTCCTCCTATTTTAGGCTCTCCTTTTTGCAGACATTTAACTGGGAAGTTATTCTTTTCCTTTCCAGCCTTCTCTCAGATCAGTACTGATATCACGTACTGACAGTACAGAGCCGTGTCAGGAATATCCTGAGTCTTAGTGCTGACTTCTAAGAGGAGCTTCAAGGTTATGTTCCATTTTGGAAGAAAGAATCCCCAGAAATCAGGATTTCCAGAAGGATGGCTTCCATTTTTCTAGTCTGAATGTAATTTTTACTATGGTAATTATGCTGAAGAATAAGACACTATTTCTAAAATCAACTCCCCAGAATTAGTGGTAACTTGTGATTGTTCTATTTAGAAAATATAAATTCATCTTCTCAACTAACTGAAATGTTCAAAGTGAAAAAACATTTTGTTGCACCAGAGAAATGCCACCACAATAAGTTCCATAAAATAGCCTACAAATAATTTATTCATTCTGTTTTTAGAGAAAGATTAGAACAGTGTGCTCTAAATGAGATGTGAGACACATACTTGACAATGAAGAGAAAGTAACTGATTAAGTAGCTGTTTATCAGTTGACAGTGTATGGGGTTGTGTACTGATTGAAACAGCAGCCTTGCAAAACAACTTACGTTTCTTATAATACAGACCACAGAAGGTTTGATTAAAGCTTGGCATTTCCTACTTTATTAGTATTAGTTTTACAGCCAAATAATATTTCATTCTAATACAAGTTTCAGTCACAGATAAATCACTGAGTCAGGACTCAGGTTACAGTAGTTCTTTTCTAGTATCTGCAGTAGGTCTGCTGAGGGGCCCTGGGACATTAATTCTTTCTCTACCATCATTTTCCCTTGTATACAATAATAAGGCCTTTTCTTCACATCACTGGCGAAAAAAACCCAACCCAAACAAAACAAAAACAAAAGGCAGAATTTTAGCAAATGTTAAATGACATAGTTCTGGTCCAGGTATTTAAAAATGGTGTTTATTGCAATGAAATTTGATCTTGTTAATGAAAAACAGGGTTTGGTTTGGTCTGAAGGAGTCTTCTAGCTGCAGGGCTGGCTGGCTGGCTCTCTCCTCCTCAAACAGTTAGTGGCACATGGGCGGAGACCCGTGTGTTCATTTCTACATCTGGTATCATTTAAAAACAGCTTTTTATTATAGCACATATAGCTCCCCGAAACTACTTTATGTTAATCCAAATCTGTCCCCCCTTTCAGGTTCAATGGGAAGCTATTCCTTTACTCACCCACCTTTGTGTAGTGGTACCTCATGCAGCTAGGCAGTTAAGCTACTGATGTATCCCTCAGTTAATGCTCATGTTTGTGAGCAGCAGTAGCAACTGCAGCAGAGAAGGCTATTTCTTAGACTTTTGAAAATCCGTTGTTGGGTTTTACGTAAGTATTACTTTAATAAGTGTTATGTTCATTAATTAACAAAGTACAGAGGTAATGTACTTGATATATTAATATAAAATACTTTTTAATGGGAAATAAACTAACATCTTTATGAGAACTCTTACCTTATCACCCAATACAGATTTGCAGTATTGTGCATATGGCTTATATTTGTGTATAGCCCAGTGAACAGTGGAGTAAGCGCCATTATTTGGAACTGATTTACTAGATAACCCAGAATTAGTTTCAAGGAGGCATAGACAAACAATGTGATAATCAGGAGTAGGAATTGCCATGAGGAACTGGATTTACAGGATTATAGGGAGGTCTCAATGGGCTTAATGTTATACACCCCTATTGACTGAAAGTTTGCTTTTGTAAAGGAATCAGTTAAAAATAGACTTGAGATTTGAGTCATTGG